AAACACAACAATGCAGCTCAACCTAACCTTGTAATCAACAGATCTGACCGGACACTCAACGACACAGAACTTCAACTTTTAAACAAAGGCCTGGTACCTGATGATGACAAAACCTTGTCGAAACGTTGTACATTTGCTGTCATGTTAAGCTTATATTAAAGTTTTTCTTCATTACCCATTTAAGCCGTCTCCAGCCATTATAACTGTACATATTGAGTGTTTCATACAAGTACAATACATGGTGTTATTCTTCTTTTATATATTTTCTCATTGTTCAAACACAATTGAACTATAAAAATACTCTGAATATTTTAGTACCTCTTTTTATGTTCAGTTTTAGATTAACAAGACCTACACGACTGTTTTGCTGTCAATGTGCAGTAACCTGTATTGATATTTCTTCTGCTCAAGACATGTCAAGATTTAATAGCAAGGAGTGAGAGTAAGCAGCTGGCTAGTGGTTAGATAAGTTCACGGGTTTAGATTTATTAAGTATTGGGATTCTTATGTGGGTAGCTAAGAAATTTAAATTAATTATATAATTATTAAAAAAATATTACAGAAAGATTTTTTTGTGGCAATAGTCTGAAACTTATACATCACAGGCATCTGACAATCTGAATCACAGGCATATGGTAAGAAGTCTGACCAAAAATTTTAAATATCCTATAATGAAAAATTCCAGTTTTCAAGTTTTACTCATCAGAGGCAAGTATGTGAGTAGATATTTACAGCCTTACTTGTAAACCAGTTTTCATTCCCACCTTAGATATCACTGCTTTGTTTATTTAATTAAGGTAAAAGTTTTGTACCATTTGAGAGAGAAAATAAATACAAACTTACAGTTGGCAAAAGATCTGAAGTACATTTCACAACTTCCACAAGGTTATTGAGCACATGGTATACAGAGGCTGATGTCATCCACTTCAGTTGATCCAAAAGACTCATGACAATAGGAAAAACTTCAATTTCACTGCTCAAAGTAGACGATGGAAATAGTACCTATAGTAGTTAGAATTTTCAAGTCATTGGTTTTATTTCCTGGCATACTAATTTTAATTACTGTCACCACCTCAAAATTTGGAAAACAATTTCCAACCATAGTTTTTTTGCTACTTTACATTTACACTGTAGGAAATTAGCCTACTCTCCTACTCTACATATTATTGTATTCTCGGTTTCCTCCAATTTCCCTCAGAGTAGACTGCAGGAACAGCAAAAACAGGAGGATTCACCAAATGCTGTATTACACAGTGGTGAGTCTTTAACTGAGTCTAAACTCCAAATAAAGAGACTGGACAAAGGGTGTAAACAATCACAATCTTTATCATAACAAAAACAAAGTCAAATTCTTTCACATTTTTGTTCTAGGTTAAAGTTGTGGTACACAATTTATATGTCTGAAGAGAAATAAAGGTATCTCAGCAAAATCTCAGTACATCCATGTTATTCGATATGATTAGAAATTGTCAAGTCTCAATCCCTAAAATCTTAATTCTGCCTATTAAAGCAATCTATATCTGAATCTCTGAAAATTCTTGTAAAATCTTGTAAATAAAAATATTATATACAAAGTTCACTCTTCCCAGGAGCATGCACCATATATATGACTGAGGTCCATTCTCATGTCAACAAGAGGTGGGTTATATCCCAACAATCACATGGTGTTCTGGTAAAACAGATCACTGCTTCTATTCAAAGCATTGTTTATGCTACATTGATCTATTCTAAAGAAAAAGACATGATGTTCTCTGTGACTCATACAGGCCCATGAATAACCAAGAAATGAGAAAGTTAGTTTTTTGAAACCAATATTCTATATTAAGAATAAACACTGAAACACACTGAAATTTAAAAATTATGCAGCAGTTAAGGGGGTAGAAAATGCATGATATGTCTGTGACTTACAATATCCACCTAAATGTATAATAAATCAAAATTGAATAGAGATTTAATTTTCTATTTTCTATGCTAGTTACAATATTAAACTGCACAGGTACTTGATTAATAATATTTTCTTCATTAACCTATTGTTAAGTGTAGGGGTCAGAAGGCATGTTATCATGTCTGTACTTACATTCAACATTTTATTGAACTACTATTTTATGAATGTATGTCAATAAGTTTAGTTTCCAATTGTAGATTATAATTCAAATTTTAGTATTATACATTTGTTCATTTCTTAATTTCAAAGTAAATATTAAAAAAAAAGAATTCTAAATATTGATTTCTGCATGTCATGTGTATGTTGAATGCAGCTTTGGTTCAATGTAGAGGTTTGTGATGTTCAAATACAAATCCTATAGTTTCTTATGAATTAGAAAGTCAAATTACCAACATTGACAAGCTAGAATATAAAATAAGAACCTCCTATCTTTTCTATTTTCTGAGATATTATTATATTTAGTGAATCAACCAAGGTGGCCCCCATAATTACATCCATTTTTGGAAATACTTGCTCACATACACCTACCACACTCTATGACGTATTTATAACCAACTGAAAGCTCAGAATGTCCCCCACATGGTCTTCTCAGCTTTTGCAAAGTGTTTACGCAGGAAAACCTTCCTTTTAATGGTAGAATTGAAGCAGAGAAGTACAGTGCCTTGCAAGTCTTCATCTCCCTGTGCTGGTATTAATTTTAGGTATTTTCTTGTGAAAGACATAACTCAAATGGCCAAAAATATTTATTATATTATCCCTCAGACCAGTTTCTAAAGATTAAAAAGAACATAAGGTGTATTGTTACCCAATTTAGTGATATAACACAAAAAACTCTTGAAAACAGATGTTGCAAAAGTCTTCACCCCCCTCAGCTTTTATTTAATTTTATGTTACTACCCTGCTAAAGTAAATACAAGTGGCTCTGTACAACTCTATCAGATAACAAAGTATATTATAGAGCCATGTGAAAAAACACTTACATAGTATTTTAAAAGTTAAAATTTGGTTTACTGTTACATATTGAGAATGATGAAGGTTCACAATTTGTCAGTACTATAAAATTGGTTGTGAAGAAATGGAAAGTGTGTCACACTACTCCAACCATGCCAAGATCAGGTCATCCTAAGGAAGACTTAGCTTGAACAAGCAGAAAAGTCCTCAGAGAAGTGACTGTCAAGCCAACAGTGACACTGAAGGAGCTGCAGACTGCTATAGCAGCTACTCGAGTTACTGTACACACCTCAACATTATCACATACCTTACACTAAAAAAGCTTGTATGGCATGGTGGAAAGAAAGAAACCACTACTGACGAAGATGCCTCTTAAATCATAAATGGACTACGCCTGTAAACACTTCAATAACCCTAAAACAATGTGGCAGAAAGTTCTATGGTCAGCTGAGACCAAAATAAAACTTTTGGGGTTAAATGACAAACAGTATGTTTGGTGGAAACCCAATACTACCCATGACACAGCAAATACAGTCCCAATTGTCATGCATGGTGGTGGGTCCATAATGCTGTGGGGATGTTTTTTGCAGATGGCACTGGAGAACTTGTACGCATTCAAGGAATCATGGACAGTGCATAATATACACAGATCTTGGAGGTTAACCTGAAGAAGTCAGCTGAAAAACTAAAACTTTACATAAAACTAAAAATTTACATTTCAACAGGACACTGATTCCAAACACAGATTAAAGGCAACCCACAAATGGTTTTGGAGAAACACAATTAAACTCCTTGACTGACCAAGCCAAAGCCCAGACCTAAATCCACCCAAAAATTTGTGGAGAGGCTTGAAAATTGCTATGCATCGAAGACATCCTTCCAACTTACAAGAACTGGAGAATATCTGCATGCAGGAGTGGACAAAATTATCTCCAGCATACTGTGACAAGCTTGTGGAAGGTTATCCAAAATGACTTTCTGCAGTCATTGCTGCCAAAGAAGCTTCAATCAAATATTAATTGCACAATCATGTTAGGGGGTGAAGAATTGCAACATGTGTTTTCAAGATTTTTTTGTGTTATAGTGGGCAACAATGCACTTTTGGTTATTTGTAATCTTTAGAAACTGATCTGAGATTAATATAATAAATATTTTTGGCCATTTGAGTTATGTCTTTTGCATGAAAATAACTGAAATTATTAACCAGTAAAGGGGGTGAAGACTTTTGCAAGACACTGTATGAGGTAGTGGAGCTTGAAATGTCATATTTTTTAAGAACCAAAAACAGCTTAGTTACTACGCCTAATAAATTATAATGAAATTCTGTGATAATGATATAGTAATTTATGATTTTTTGTTATTTTAAAGTGTATATATAAAACCTAAAATAATTATTTTGTTTTACATCTTTCACATATATATAAAGTGGTAACTATTTTTTGTAAATTTTAAGAACTTTTTATTTCAAAAATGATGACAAATGAAACTACATCTGGAAATGAAAAATATGATTTTAAAAAATTATGCTTATTTAACACCTTAGCATAAAGGTGTTTATGGATTAAGTATAATTTCAAAAGCTCTCTAAATTTTTAAATATTAAAGTACTCAAATTTTATAGTAGGCAGAAATTCTACATTCCACAGATATATATATTTGAATTTTAAGTATATTTCCAATAAAGCTACTAAGGCTATCAGTTTCTACCCCTCAGCAGCACTCTTACAACCACCATTAATGCTATGCAATTGACTTTCACTCTTATAAAGCACTCACAACTTAAACTGTGGGGAATATTTTGTGATATCACAAGGATTCAAACCCAGCTCGCTAACTCCAAACTTCAGAGCTCTACTGCATTACCAATCCACACCTCCACAAGTAAATTGGGAAATTTGCTTGACTAATAAATACTCACTTGTTTTGAACTTCCTGTTCTCTTGATTTCACTGAAAAAAAAAAAAAGTGTAACAACTTAAATTTTGTGCAATATAAAGCTATAAAAGATTAACCCTTAAAGATTTTAGAAAACAAAAATTTATCAAAAAGTACAAATAATTGCTCTTAAATGTTATAACAGAAATTTTAAACCTAAGCTTCAAATAATTTCAGGTAAAACCTGGTTTCATCTTATACTGTTTAAAGAAGAAAAAACTGTAAAAATATTATTACAATATTTGTAAAAAAAATTAAGCAATTTGACAATTACATTTTTAAGGGGTTCAATATTTAATATTTTTCCAAGAAAATAAACATCACTTGAACTCCACAAAATATGGTTAGTGAAGCATTAAATTTGCACTTTTCACATTAACAAAACTTGGAATACTCGTATATAAAAATCACATTAATCACCAAGTTTAAATGTACTGTTTCAAAGGCAACTCACTCATCAGGATACCTTCTATCCTGCCCACTACTGATACAAGTAAAATATTTTTATAAAAATCATTTAAATGCTCTTATCTTTTCACATAATCCATACATAGTATTTCTACTTGAATGATTTTTCTCCTGTACTAAATGGGTCAAAATAACACTGATCAGAGAGGCATAGGACTGAAAAACTGGAGATGTATCTTGCTGAAAGGAATTCCACATTACTTCAGTATGTGGCTCAGTAATACCCTGAAAATAAAAGGCAATATATGTATATGTAAATCCTGTAATGCTGAGTACTGGAAATTGTGTGTTTCATTTTCAAATAATGCTTAAAGAAGATCTTTTACAGTAAAATTATGAAGTTAAGAAACAATGTATTTCATAGTTATAAAAGTATTATGTTTATAAAAATAAATAAAGCTGTCAAAACCATATTATTGGTATCATCTTATCTATATCTTTTTTTAGCATAAAAATGAAATTCAAATAAGTACTTACTTCTAAATGGACAAGTACAAAATAATGCACTCACAGATCTTTAAATTGTATACACCTTGAAAGTAACTGCTTTAAAAATAATTTCTGTAAAATGCAACATTAAAATTTCCCTTTGTTGGTAATAATAATAATAAACCATTTCACAAAAAACATTAATAATATTTTTCTAATACATACTGAATGTATTAATGCTGAAATGAAGACTATATTTTAGAAATAAGATTTTATATATTCTAAAATTTTACAGAAGTATCTTTTAATATGTTATTTAACCCTAGAATCTCTAGTGTTTCACTCATATCTAGAATTGTCATACTGCCACCATTCTGACTGCTACATATTCCAATGTCAGTATTAAAATGAAAGACAATATTGACTACAACTCAAAAGTTTTGTTTTGGAACATCAAATCAAACATAATTAGAGCCAAAACACTGTATTAAAATGAACAATTATGCAAAAAAAAACTTGAATAATTTAAATACTATAATAAAATAAACACCTCAAAAGAAACAAGTTAGTAAGCAGGTATAAACAGCTATATGTACATACAAAACTCTAAATTCTTGAGCCTAGATAACCCTACAGATTCTGATTTCATGTTTCAAATATAGCACTGAACTAATAACAAACTCAGTAAATATTGAAATTGCAACAAGTGTTACTAGTAACCACTCCATCTAACAGTTTCACTATTTGTGCATGTGCAGCATTAATGACATAAACATATCCATTGGAATCATGTTATAACTGGCATCAATATACCCACTATGATAAAACAATGTGTGCCATACAAACATACTACATGTTTTCTATTCTGTTTAAACAGACTGTTGGTTGGTTGATTGGTGTTTTATGGTGCAAAGCAGCAAGGCTATCTGTGCCAAACAAGCGGTAAAAACAAATAAAGTAAATTAATGTAAAATGTAAAAATACAGCGAGTTAAAACCAATACATGTCAATAAAAGATTTATACAGAATTAAAAATACCTATAGTGTGTAAAAAATTAAAAATACAATCTAATTGGACAGTGTCACCATTACCAATGACACTGTCCAGCGTCAGGGGTAAACTTTTAGATAAAATGTGTCTAAAATGATGCCGCCGCTCACGGTCGTAACGACGGCATGACAGTAAAATGTGGGCTATTGTGACTTGAGTGTCACAATGGCTACACATCGGTGGTTCAATACCAGAGCAGACGGACTTAGATGCGGTGTCA